AAAGACAGTGATTTGAACCAGCAACATATATGATTTACCCTTGCCTAGGAATATATGTTTTCATTTGAAGTTTTAGACATGACGTTAGTTGGTTTAGAGATACCGACCTCAAGTGACTTTTTGGCTATTGTGCTGAACTTGGAACCATGTGACAGCACACAGGTGATATAAGGTCTACCAGAATATCTACTATATATAACTATGCTTTTAGGAACTTAAGATCTAGGACGTAACATTGAAAAGTTAATCACATGAAGTCCACGTATTCTATTGCAGTAATACTTTCTAAAAACTCTTCGAAATGCACTCATTTTATTTACAAATCCATTAATTCATCCATTGAACTAAAACTAATATGTGTCTAATACATGTGAGATACTAGATCATTCTTGGAATTGGGGATGTAGCAGTGAATAATATTGATACCCTGCCCCTTATTCACCCATCCCCTGCCCCACTTCATCAGGGCTTACGTTGTTATTGGGAACAGACAATTCAAAAAATAAATAAATACATAATATAGCGTTACGTAGCGGTCAGTGAAGGTGTCTCAGAGAAGGTGAAATCTTAACCAAGACTCGAATGAAAGGAGAGTGTTTTATATTGGGGAAGCAGCAGATGCAAAGACTCAAAGGTCTTCTGTATTGTTTGAACAGTTTGTAAGAGTGCATTCATTATTACTTGTGTAGCAAAATGCAGAAAAAAATCTATGCATCTTATTGAAAAGCTATAGATTATAATGCTTAGACATTTGATATGGAAGGAGACAGAAACTGGATAAAAGACAGAATGTTTAGGTGTTCAATATGGAAATATTAGAAATGTTTAAAGGGAAACAAAATATGTTTTTCTTCTTCAGTTAGTAACAACGATGGGAAAGTTTAATCTTACTGATTTTAATCCTTAGCTAAAGAAAGCTTGGTATTATATGCACTCCCTGGATTTTAAAAACAAATAGCAAATGTATGTATTATCCATTAAGAGAAATATGAAAGCAGATCAAAGTAAAAATATCTCTTAGAACATATTGGCAGATGCTGTCTTCAGTAATATGACCCAAATGTGAGATAATGATATTAAGAAAGATTATAAATTAGTAAGGTCAGTAGATATCTATTAAATCGATGTCTGACTATAGCCATATAAACATGTGTATAAAAACTGCTTAATTTATACCACTGTGAGAAAATATAATAAGCAAATACGTAGAATATTAACTATTGTACAAGGTGTTTCCTTATTTTTCCAAAAAATTATTTATTTTTAAAAAAGATTCTACCTAGATTTCCTTGAAATGTCAGCTCATTTAGGTCCTTGAGGTCATTTAGAATAGATTTTTCATTTAAAAAATTCAGTCATTACCCAAATTTTCAGGATTACACCTGTTGCATAAAGTTAAGCAATATTATATAAGAACAGATAGGTTTTGTGTATAATATTATTTTTTTGGAATTTAATTTACACATTTAAATTTGTGTAAGGCCTTTGTGAAGGGCTGTGTGAGACAATACATTTAAGTATAACACGAATATTGGCTGTGGAAGTCAAACATCAGCATGCAGGCAAACAAAACCCTATATTGTACTAATATAGACAATATAATTTAAGAAAAGGATATATGTATCTCGATCTAAAAAGTTATAAAGTTATAGAAAGTTATAAATAAATGAAAAAAGATACAACGAATCATTAAAGCAATCTTTCTGGATAAATATAATATCTGTGCTATGTACAGTTCACCTGATTAAATTATGTAGAAAAATACTGATCTTCCTGGTACAACTCGGTTCACTTTTAGGAATATAAGTGTCCAAACATCCCTCTCTGCCTCCCTGCATCTGTCTTCGACATACACAGCTCCCTTTGAAATCGGTGGGATATGAGGGAGTGCAGTGGGGGATGAAAATCTGTGAATTCAGCAGCCATTTCTGAGGTGGAAGATTGGGGGAGCTGCCATCTTAATGATGTTTCTCAGTGGGAGACCCAGTTTGATGAGGCTGAATAGGCCTGAAAGAATCGACTTCATGATATAAAGAAACGGGGACTCAGAGAGTCTCACTGCTTCCAGAAGGAATCTTGAAATACTGAGTAGTATAGACTCCCTTTCAAATGGAATTAATTGATTTTGTGTAATTTCCTTTTCCCTTCTTAAGGACTCCAACATCTTTCTTTTTTTCTTTTTTTCACCACCACCCAGTATCTGTCATTTTTTAATGTTGGAACTCATTCCTCCAATTACTTCATCTTGTGAGATTGTCAATAACTACTAATTTCTCAATTATTCTTTTTTATTATATTTAAGGGCCCAATGCCTAGGTGCTCACATACATCTCATATACACCCTGAAGCTGTTTCTGGTGTTTTCATCATCTTAGTAATTAGACATCATGATTAGAATAACTTTTATGTTATGTGGGTTTTTTTTTTTTAAATCTGACTATATTACAGGGGTTTTCTTAAAAATAACTAAGAACAACAGATACAAACTTTTAAATTATAAGAGATGCAAATTTATCAAAACAATTATCTCTTTTGTTTTCCTGGATATTGCTGGAAATCCTACATGGTCTGAACATCACCTGTTACCCCCCAGGATCAGAAGAAATATATTCTGTATTCTTATCTTCTACCATTGCTGCCTTATATTGTTGTGATAACTGTGTCGTATACATAGTACCTATTGTTTGAAAGGACAAAAAAGTCACAGGTAACAAAAAAAGACCACAACGACCATAAGGGCCATGGCATAAATGTTGCACCCATACATTTTGGACAAATCAATGAATTCACTCTTTCCACATACTGGAGCAAGGAGGAGGCACCCAGTACTGTTAAGTGAATTAAGAAATAAGTGGGTGATTTGGTTAGACTCCTTTGTGAAGGGCTGTGTGAGACAATGCCAAAAGGTAAGGCAGGATGAGTTTTGGACACACTTAGCAATCCTGCCTAAAACCATCTCTCTCCTAGATGGGACCTTACTTAAACCCCAGCAGCCAATTGTCATGCTTATCATAATCATAACGTTAAAGATTTTCAAAGCAGACATTTCCCTCAGCTGTCCTTAGGAGCCTATTTTAAGTGATTAAAATTCAATGCTGTCAAGAAGTTCTTACATTATGTCAACTTAAATTTATCTTGCAAGTTAAGCTATTTCCTGCAATAACCCCATGGAACAGCTGGTCACCATCTTCTTTATGACCATCCTCCTTAAGCTTGCAAGAAACAATAGAATCATCCAATGTTCTTTTTCTTTTTTTAGCTGCAATCATCACAACCTATTCATATATTTTTTTCATAGATTCTTATTTTTTCTAATGATACAATTTATTTTTAGAGCTACTAAGCTTTCCGATATCCCTGGGAGATTAGTTGATGGCAGCCACTGTTCCTTTCCATTACAGACAGTAACTTGCCAAAATGATTTCAAATTATGGCTGCCCATCTTTTAATACACTGCCAATGACATAATGTTCCCTAAACAACACAAATATAATTGACATCTGTAATTAACATTAGGTCACACTTTTCTCTCCCACATTAAAAATGTCATCTCTGAAACATTATTTCACTGGTTATGTTTGTGCCAATATAGATATATCCCAGATATATTAGCAGTGAACCATGCAGCGGGGAAAGCTTAAATCTCCAAACACCCTTCACACACCAACTATTTTTAAAATCCTTTGAAACATGATGTGAATCATTGCCTATAATATGGAAGGTTTACTTATTTTTTTTTATAGGGCATAGTAGGTCTGTCTTTTCACCATGCAATTTGTGTGAATGAAAGGTGAATAGTGGGGCCAGTTATCTGCCTATGCTGAATTTGATGACCCCATCCCCAATTTTTTTACAATGTTTTGATGGTTTGTAGTTAGAATCTATGTAGAATTAGGTGGCTTATTGAATGAATCTGGTGCATTTGGTTGGTGTAATTAAGTAATTGAGATGATATAGGGCCTCAGGCTTTAGTTCTTTCTTCAATTATACATTTAGCTTTCAAAAACTATAAACTTTCTTGATTGTTACCCAGAATATTCCCTGAGCTTTGTCTATAGAGCTTGAGTAAGTTTGTCAGATTTATTAGAGTCAAGATTCCCTCTATATCAGAAGGAAGGACAAATGATATGTATCACGCTGCTGTGGATCCTCTACTAAAGTAAGATAAAGTCAGTTAGTTTAGTCTGTTTACCATTGTTCATCTACTAAATTTATCATTATATCCCAAATCAGTGCCATACCAAATATTCCTGAGTAAAGCAGGCAATTTGCAAACAGGATGTAGATGAAAATCCCATATATATATGGGATTGGAAAAAAATTATATATATGTATTTTTTTAAGTGTGTTGGTGCATTTATGCACAAGACAAGTCTGGAAGAACACACACAATATAATTAAAGTGATTATCTCTGAGTGTTGGGATCATGGGTTACTTCTATTTTCTTCTCTTTGTTTGCATGCTTTTCTAATTTTCCTACAGTGAACATGTATTGCTTATGTAATAATAAGAAAAACTAATTTTAAACATTTTAAAGACTAACTCAGCTAAAAATGTATGTCTAAACCTAGAATAATCACTCAAATGGTGATCTAAAAATTCCAGAGTATTTGAGTTAGAGACTGCACATATTAAGTAGGTAGGGATCTTGTTTTAAACATTGTTTCTTCAAAGCCTAGTATGCTGTAAGTACTCAAATATATACCCTAAAACAAGTATTAACATACTAACTAAAGAAATAGAGAAAAGTTGTAAATCATTTCTTATTTTTTTTCCAAGAAGAATACATCCTACTTTACATCATTGTAGTTGGATAATGGATATCAAGAATTGCCAGCCAGGGGAATAAAGCAAAAGGGAGATTTCAAGTCCCGTGAGAATATTCTGGGGCATTAGTTTCTACAAATAAACATTGAGTTATGTCAGGAATGTTATGCAGTCATAATGCTGTCCAAAACCAGTTCAATGCTCTGAAATTTCACAGTTGTGAAAAATTTCCTTCTCAAAAGAACTTAATTGGAGTTAGTTCTAAATTTTCGTAAAAAAATATGAAAGAACTACATTAAAATAGAGCATTGCAAACACTAAGAATACAATTAAGCTCAGGATGTACTAGGTGGAATGTTTCATTGAAAGTGAAGAATCTAATCATATTTTTTCACTCCTCCTTATGCTGAAAGTTTCATCACTTTTCTCCATGATTTGGATCTGGCAGAGAGAGCTTTGGGAAGAGGATTAAGAAGTGTTTTTCAACAGTGGAATGTTGGAGAAACACTGAAAAGAGTTAGATGATCAGAGTTCCAAGTATGATTTTTATTTATTCTTTCATTCTTATGCAGACAGTATATTGTTAACAGCTAAGGGCATACACCATAGAGACAGACTACTTGGCTTTATATTCCAGATCTAACATTGGCTAGATGTGTGAACACAAAGTTCACCCCTCTATTCCTCAATTTCTTCATCTATAAAATAGTAATAGTTAATGACAACTATACATGCACATGTAATCATTAAATAGGGTAAGATATGTGAAGATCTTAGCACAGTGCCTCTATAAATGTTAGCTATAATTATTTCAACAGATAGTTATAAAGCCCCTACTATGTACTGGGAAGTATATTAAAATCCAGAGAAAAACAATTATGAGCATTCAAGACATGGTGTCTAGACTCACAGAACTTTTAATCTCACAAGGGACAAGAAACAATCAGTTACGAATCATTGAAACTGAGGTGATTCAGGGTGCTATGAAAATACATAGAAGAGGCATTATAACAGAATGGGAAAGATTTATGCAGGTAGCAGAGTCTACATCGAGACCAAATTAGAATGAATAGAAGTTAACTAGGTGAAGAGATGAGAGAAACATATTCCAAGTAGAGGAACCAGCAAGCAAAAGTTCCCATTTCAGTCAGGATTTCTTTTGCAGGTAACCTAACTCAGACAGGCTAACAATAATAGAAGTTTATTAGCTCATGTAACTAAAATGTCCAGGAAAGTTTTCAGATGTAGCTTTATCTGGGTTCTAATTCAATATCCTTTTAATTCTTTGACTCTGCTTTCCTCTGCTTTCATTTTGTCCTGATTTTGGATCTCCTTATGGTAGCAAAATGACTATATCAGTTGGCTTCACACCAAACTTGAAAAGAAAGCTTTTTTTTTTTCCTTAATCACCAAACAAAAAATTTGGAATTCATTATGATCGACCAACTTGGGTCATGTGCTTATCCATGAACCAATAACTGGACATGAGATACGGGGTCCCATTGAATGGTTTGGTTATTCAGAATGTTCTTCTAGAGCTGGGATCTATAGCACCCAGGAATCAAACTACTATCCAATAGGTGAGAGGAAAAATAGATCCTTGGAGGAAAACAATAGTGCCCACTAGAGGCTAAAGGATGAGAGAGAGCATGGTATGTGCAAGGAGCTGAAATTAAGTTTAAGGAGTCTAAAGCACAGCATCTGAAGAGGCTGGGGATGGGGAAGGACAAGTTTGGAATTAGAGAAGTAAGCAAATACCAGATGATGCAGGGCTTTCTAAAATATTTTAAGGATTTTTTACTTCTTCCTGAGGTAGTGAGGAAATAATATTTAAGCAGGGGAATAAATAATCATGCTTGTGAAATTTAGTATGAAGAATGGATCAAAGAAAATTGGAACTGGAGATTGGGGATAATAAATATAGGATACTATTTTTTAAAGATTGTATTTATTTATTTGTCAGAGAGAGAGTGCACAAGCAAGGGGAATGGCAGGCAGAGGGAGAAGCATTCTCCCTGCTGAGCAAGGACCCTGATGCAGGACTTGATCCCAGGACCCTGGGATCATGACCTGAGCCGAAGGCAGACACTTAACCTGCTGAGCCACCCAGGTGTCTCTAAATATAGGAGACTATTAATTGAAGTATAAGATACTGATGGCTTGAATGGGTTATAGGAATATGGAAAAGTGAGTGTGAAAATTTATTTAAGGAGTAGAATTAGAAGGACTTCATAATTAATTGGTTTGGTAGAGTTGAGGGAGGGAGAGGAGTTAAGGATAATGTCCATATTCTTGGCTTGGCAACTGGACAGGTGTTTATACCATTCACTGAGATAGGAATATCAGCAGGTAGAATGGGTTTGGAAGTTAAAATCAGGCAGTCCCTGTTGAACATCTAAGTGAAAATATCAATACAGGTCTAGAGCACAGGAATGTTATATGGACTTGAGATACTGTGAGCCTCATGGGGATGGTGAGTTAATCCAGAAGCACATAGAGAAAGAGAACAAAAAAGCCGAAGATGGAAATTGAGGTATATGAGGCTGAGACAAAGAGCCCAAAGAGGTGACTGAGAAAAGTTGTTCCATGAGAGAAAAGAAAAAAACAAACAAACCAGTGAACCGACAAAAGAGAGTGTTTCAAAATGGGGACTGGTTAATTTTCTAATGCAGTAGAGATGAGAGTAGTTCAGAAGAGTGATGGTAATGGAAGCCAGATTGCAGTGGATTAAAGCATCTGTGGAAGTGAGTTAGTGGAACTGTGGGCATAGACCACTCTTAATTTGGTCATGAAGAAAGGACTGACAAGTAGTTGAAAGATTTGTTATTATTGTTACTCTTTAAGATAAAAAGATATTGAATATTTAAGTGTCGTAAGGAGGGTGTGTATATGAGGATTTATAAAACTAACTTTTGGGGTGGCTGGGTGGCTCAGTGGGTTAGGCATATGACTCTTGATCTCAGCTCGAGTCTTGATCTCAACTCAGGTCTTGACCTCAGGGTTGTTGTGAGTTCAAGGCCCATATTGGGCTCCATGCTGGGTGTGGAGTCTACTTAAAAAGAATAAATAAGTAAAAAATAAAGCTAACTTAATTTAGCACCTATGGTATCTGGCACTGTTCTCAGTATTTTATATAGATTCACTTTTTCTAATCCTCATAACAACCCTATGAGGTAAGTGATATTATTATTCAGTTTATAGAGGAGAAAACGGAGGCACAGAGATCAAGTATTTTGCTCAAGGTCACCAGCTAGAAAGTCTGGAAGGTGGAATGAAACTGATGACAGCCTGGTCCTGGAGTTGGTATTCTTAACTACTCTGCACTCTTGCCATCCCTGGGCAAGGTTGCTTGTACTTCATGCTACTGAGTCAAATGAATAGTAGCAGTAAAATGTGTAGCAGAGAAAGGAAACACATTCTCAATGAAACAGAAGGGGATGAGTTTCAGCTGCAAGTGACAGAAAACCCAGGATAATTTTGGGCTAAGATTAAAGTTTATTTTTCTGTCATCCCAAAATCCAGGCAAATAGATACCATTTAGTATCTGGTGGGATACCATTTTGTGAGAAACCTGATTTCTTTCCATGTTGTTGCTTCATTCTATACGGCTAATATCCCCAATGTGAAACTCTATCCCCGTGCTAGTCAATATGGTAGCCACCAGCTACTTGTACTGCTGACACTTGAAATGTGGCTAGTCCAAATTGAGGTGTGCAGTAATTATAAAATACACACCGGCATTTGAAGACTTAGTACAATAAAATGTAAAATACCTCATTTATAATTTTTATGTAAATTACATATTCAAGTTATGATATTTTAGACATATTGGATTAAATGAGATGTATTAGCAAAAGTAATTTCACCTGTTTCTCTTTACTTTTCTAATGTGGCTAGCAGAAAATTTTAAGTTACTTTTATAGCTCGTGTTTGTGGTTTGCATTGTATTTCTACTGGACATTGCTGCTCTAGACTACACTGATGTTCTGTACAGGACTAAGAAGGGAGAGAAAGAAGGTTATATCCAGTTCTTTTAAAGATGTTTCCCAGAAGTTACATACATTTTTGTTTTCATCCCATGGTTACATTAAACTGAAGGTATAGATGGAAATTGTAGCCTTGACTCTGGATGGTCACATGCCCCACTACGATTTTGCAATTATATTAGTTCAGAAGAAGGGGGACTGGATATTGGGATATTGGGGAAAAATTAGCAGACTCTGACACAACTCTAAAGCACAGTAGCAGAATTTACCTTGGCTTCAGGTGACAGGAGACACATTACCTCCATTTGGGCAGACAAACAAGATGAATGGCTTTATAGTTATTTTTTTTTAAAGATTTTATTTATTTATTTGCGAGAGAGAGAATGAGAGACAGAGAGCATGAGAGGGAGGAGGGTCAGAGGGAGAAGCAGACTCCCCGCTGAGCAGGGAGCCCGATGCGGGACTCGATCCCGGGACTCCAGGATCATGACCTGAGCCGAAGGCAGTCGCTTAACCGACTGAGCCACCCAGGCACCCGGCTTTATAGTTATTTTTGCAGGTTGGTCATTCAGAATTTGAGCAAATTTTTATCTTGTGACTTCTATTTTTTTCTGTGCAGAAGAAATGATGTCATTTGTTGCAAATGTGGGTCACATTGAGTCAGATTTAAGAAGAGCGATGGAGCTAAAAAATGCTGTCTCGAGCATCTGGTTTAGATTGGAGATCATGAATTTATATGGAAACCAAACTGCACAGTTGTGAGATCTTCACTAGCAGCACCAGGTGTACCTGAGAGAAAAGATGGAAATTAACGTTATTCAAAACTGAGTTTTTATTGGGAAAATGCCAAGGAAGAGAAATGGGATGAGGAAGTTGAAGATGTTGACATGAGAACAGTTGAAGGGATGGGCAATGGAGTCTAAGTTGGAAAGAGAGGTATGTGAAGACTAATGGTCTAGAAAATGAAGGTCCTGAAGAAAAGTGCAGTCATGGAGGGAGGGGGCTGGGAGGGGAGGACATTGTGGGCAGTAATTGAATGATGTTTAATTTCAGTTTCCAGAGATAGGTCTGGTGATACAGAGAGCCATGAGAATGAGTGGCTTAATTAGAGTGGAAGAGAAAGTCTTTGGAGATGGAGAGCTCAATAAACTGAGGAATAAGGGATTTGGTTGGGGGATGTGGTTCTCCAGATCTCAGCCTATTCTAGTTTCAGTAACAGTAAAACAAGAAGTTTACACCAGATAATTGTTGGGAGATAGTTCTCCATATGTCTCTTTTTTCTGCACATTTTGCAAGCAAAGACACTAATGACTTTTGCTCTGGATTGTCATTTCAAGGATATGTGTAGAGCAAAGTCTTGCAAGATAGAGATAGTGTCTCCCTCTGGAGTAAAGGGAAGGCATGCTTACTGTTTATTATAAAAGGTTAGGGTTCCCAAGTTCGGGTGTCCTCTTCTGTAACACAATACACCCCATGTGCTGGTGTTACCTGGTCCTGTTCATGATGCACTGAGAAATTAGGGTTTGGGGAATAGCACAAATGCTGATAATT